ATTTCTGAGTAACTAGTATTGAAAATAAACTTCTACTGGGCATAGTAGGGTCATACATGAAAACTTCTCACATCTTAATGCTTACACAAACTTCAGGGTTTTAGAAAACAGTGTTCCTGAATCATGTGGACATGATGAAAAATCTACCTGGAGGTTCATGTGTGACTCAGACACTTTCGAGAAATGCACTCTTTGTGAATTGAACCTTGACCACTTTTTCCCATATTGATTTAACTCTGTCAAGGTATATCTAAAGGTATACCTCTCTGTCAAGAATACCTAAAGTTTGGCAATTTCATTGCTTTGCCATGTGCCCTGGTCACCCTCCACAGTTTTAATAGAAGACAAGCTACAAAAGAATTATAGCAGTGTGAGTTTGGATAAAAACTGGCAAAACATTTAATGCACTGATGGTAGTCCAGGCTCAGTTTAGTTAACTATATCTTTCAAAGTGCAGTGCTTACTCTTCCATGTTTGAAACAAGTCTTGTATTTCATTACTGCCTCAGGATAAGGATAGATGGATAGTGATGACAGAATCAAAGCATAAATGGGATAAGAGTTATTCTGGAGACTTATAACATTTGCCATATTTCTTTTATTTGCCATATTACAGTGTTTTTCCTGCAGTCCCTGAAAGCTACAGGGTTTGAAAGGTTTGAAAGTTATGGGGATACTTTGAAAAACATGTTTATATGTCAATTCACATGTAGACAATCTCATTTTTACTGATAAGAGCATTTGTTCAAAACATTTTGATTCATATCTTTCTTACAAAAAATATATGTACTCTTCCTCTTTAAAGGCAATTTTTTTAGTGAACCAACAGAAACATGCTACCCTAATACTCAGTGTACACACTGGTTTTACACTTATCCTCTTTTATTTTCAAGTAAAACTGTGTGTGTAATCATTGGATATGTACAGATATATGTTCTAGTCAGTCTGGAATAGTTTCTACATGATAGCTGGAGAAGGATTATGCCAGTGACAGCAGGAAGGGTGCAAGCAGAGCAGCATATGGAAAAATGTACTGCTGATAATGATAAAGAATGTTGAGCAGAACTTCTGTTCTGGAAGTTTCTCAAGCCCTTGCAGTCCTTCTAGAAAGGTCAATGTCTTAACAAACACCCTAATTATTTTTTTCTGTCATCCTTCCTGTGGCCCATGGCTGAATGGAATCCGTCTGTCTTTGAAAGGATCAACAAACACATGTCTTATTTCATAAGCAGTGTAAAACCCCTACTCTGGTGAGAAGCGAGGCTGAGTAAGGACTCCAGATTCTTGCCTCTTGATTGTTGTGCATGAATGCAGTAGCATAAAAGGTACAAATTGTTCAACTGAAATGGATCAGTTTTCATTTTCTCACTAGCGACTCTGCTGTTTTGGATAATACCCAAAATACCACAGCAGTTTCGGTGTTTTGATTCCTACAGTCTGGAACAAAGAAGTTCCTTGTGCTCCAATCCACGTCCCTCTCCCAAGATGGCTTTCTCTGCCTCACGTTTATTGGTCTACCTTTTTAGTAAACAGAACCAGGAGTCTATCTTGAGTTTGCCTGTTAGAGTGTAAGAAAACAAAGTATGTCCTCTGCAGACAGTTGAGTCCTGCCTCCAAGATGAAATGTGAGAATTCAGCTAGCTGGTATGAAAAGTAAACAGGAAATAATCCTTAGAAATTGGAATCTTCAGCAAGTCTTTCAACTTTTAGCTGTGTGTTTTTAAGAGATTCTTTGAACATGAACTTACTTGAACTCTTAAGGCTAAAGTGTTTAGAGGTTGAAATAACTAACCAAATACCAATGACTAAGTTGTGCTGAGCAATTTTAATTCCAGTGTTTCCCGAGGCAGAAAATCGAGGACTGCAAATTCTATAACTCTGATAATCAAGACAGTAATTGGCAATGTTCCTTTGGGGGAGGCAGGCTCACATGAGGTCACTTCTGCCTGCCTCTCACCCAGCACCCACTGTATACAGATGTTGTCTCAGTGCTACCTAAATGGGTTTTTCAGATGCAGGAGAGCATGTGCTTCCTGATCTCCTTTTGTGCCAGGTGTCGTTGTGCTGGGGAGAGTACCCAGGACAGAAAAGCAGTGCCCAAGCTCAACTAACTTAGACCTCTAAAAGAAAACAGGTGTGAGTGACTCAGCCAAGTTACATCTCCTACTCAAGTGTAGCGGCTTTTAAGTCTGATTATACAATGCTTCTGGAATCATATCAAAGTATTGCTCCAGTCCTTTGTTCTGCTGTCGTAGAAATTATTATGAACGCCAGAAAAAAGATATATTTAAGTTAGATTGCCAACATTTTTTGACACTCTGTTACAGCCCCCTAGTGAAACTGAGCATTTTTTGTGATGGCAGGAAGACACAGCACATATGGATTCACTTAGAAAACATGGACAGGAGAACCACAAATGTTTCCAGTAGACAAGCCCTTGCATTTGAGGAACTTGTGGTGTGCTGTTTTGTCCTAAAAAGACTTCAGAGTTCTAGTAAAATTTTCTTTTCTTTCAAATATTCTACAGATAGCATGAACACGAAATGGATAAACCATCAGTCTGTTTAAAGACATTTACATTAGTGGAAAAAAACATAATGTCTCTGTTTCATATAAATCTATAAACATAAATGAAAAAGATATTTGGAAAAGAAGGCATCTGACACTAAACTTGAAAGGTTCCCCAGAGTTTTTTGAAGCCAGGTAATTCTGGTTGAGGTTATGGAATATTGATTTCTTTTTAACAGAAAAGATGCAACCTTACCCGTTAACCTTCATTGTCAAGAAAAACCTAATACAACAGCTGTTTAAAAGCACTTTTATCAAAGGGGACTATTTTTTAAAAGATAGTTATTAATCAATAGACATTAGAGTAGTGCATTTTTAAAAAAAATCAATGTCTAATTTTGAACAAAGCCTGCATTCTGCGTTCACTTTTCCCACTCTGTGTACATCACCTAAGAATATCAGTAATACTTAATTTATCTCATAGTAATATATGTAACATCTCTGTCTTCATGGAGATTTGCATTTTCATCTAGTTTTAGATTTACACAAAGTCAAAATCCTGAAGACAAATCTGTAAGATTCATATGTTTTGTTTGCCATTTTTAGCAAAAATTCCTCATTTGGTGAGCACTTGGTAGATTAGTAAGTAGGCAGATTGTGATAGGATCAGGAGAGAGTGGTGAACTGTGTAAACATATGCTATTAATGATAGAATTAGATTAATCAGTTTGCAGAAAGTAACAGGCTCAGCAGAGTGCCAAATTTAGCTCACCATCAGGTATTTTGCCCCTGTGATGCAGTCTGGTTATGCATGCATATGTGTGCTGTGAACAGGCTGAGGCATGTGGCATGTGTGTTGCAGTCCTCTCAGATTTACCCTCCCTCATGAACCTTTCTCTTATTTTGTGCCTAGCATTGTCTGCTGTCTTGCAGTTGATGCTGATGTTGCCCACCTTCCACAGAGAGCTCTCTGCTCTGCTGGCTTGCAGCAAATCAGATGATGTGCACGTCGTAGGCAGGACCCCAGCCTGCTCATAACAAAGGTGGCCAAGTGCTGCAACTGCCAAACATGCAACTTCTGTGATGGTGGAAGGGAAAGGCAACAATTTTCATCTGCCACAGACAGCAAAGCTCTTTGAATGTGTTCTGTGGTCTGAGAGCACAGAGGTTTCACACTAGTTGGTGACAAGGCTGGGAATGATCTCTGGGTGCCTTTCCCGTGGTGGAGATGTGGTTCTCATTTCCATAGCACAGTTAAGAATACAAGATGTTACCAGCAGAAGGGGACCTGGATCTCCTTTCTGCCTTCCAAACGCCCTACACTGGAGGAAATCAGCATTTCCATTTACAGAAGAAGCATTGGGCAGCTTTGGAGAAGGAAACAGGGGTTCTGCAAGCCCAGACGAAAATTCTTGAGGAAAGCCTGTGATCAACAACTAGAGTAATGCCTGGGCAGCACATAGCTGTGGTAACTCCAAAACAGGGTTTAAAAACACTGGCACAGCCTGTCAAAGCTGTGAAGGTGAATTCTTGTTAGAGAAGGATCAAGTATAAACAATTGAGTAGGAAGAAAATTATATATGAATCAAGATGTAATCTTCAAAGGTAATTAATTTAATATTTTTTAAAATACATATTCATTTGAATTTTGTCCCAGAGGCTTCAACTTGTTTTGAAAGAAAATTCCAAATGGAAATCATGCTGCAGCTCCTTTTTGACCTGAACCTGCCTTCCCTCACACTGGCTTCAAAGAATACACGCAGACTTAGAGCACTTAGTGACAGGTACTTTTTCAACTGCCACTGATCAGCTTTTTGACCTTGGAGAACACACCTTTCTCTCAGGCTCAGTTTTAGATTTGTCTTTTTTTAAATCCCAATCTATTTAGATTATAAAATGGTCATACTGCTAAATACTCTTTAGTAGAAGTTTGTGAAAAGTCTGGTGGAACAAGGGCCTATCTTGACTGATGCCTCTTAACACGACCTCACAGTGATACTATTAGGGTTTAGGGTTTTCATGTTAATTATTAAAATAAACCTGTCCCAGCTACAAAAGGAAATTTTGGATCTGATTTTTACCAGTATAAATCAAGAGTTAACTTCACTTAAGAAAATTGAATTGCATAAGTGTGAAACAGTGAGAATTAGAAGAGAATCACGCCTGCAGCAATAAGCTGATGAAGGAGACTCTGTCACCTTCTTAATCCTTAGAAGAAAAGCACTTCCATAAATTACCATTATGTTTCGCCAAGTGTATTCAAGGACCAATTTACATAAGTGGGGGAAACTAGCTAGTCTATGTATTACTTATGATTGCATCATGATTTTTCTAGTGCAAGACTTGTGTAAAAAATTATAATAATATACTCTAAGGACTTAGTGACCAGTTTATAAAATTCAAACTTCCTGTATCCAGGAACCATACAGAATCACAGAATGTTCTGAGTTGGAGGAGACCCACAAGGATCATCAAGTCCAGCTCTTCAGTGAATGGCCCATACGGGGATCGAAACCACAACCTTGGCAGCATTAACACCATGCTCTAACCAGCTGAGCTAATCTCAGTGGCATGCCACAAAATCCCTTGCAAAACCTGATTAAATAGTTTGATTTTATGCCTCTTGATAATCCTATCAGGAGGTTTGTTTCAAAACACCTTTGCTCTGAGGCTTAGCATTCTGTTTTTCATTGCCAGCCTAAAGGTGCTCCTATTCATTTTGCCTCCATCTGTTCTTGGTCAAACATTCTTCCTGTGTTCAGTATCTGTTGTCCTTTCTCAATGTTCACCACATTAATTTATAGACAAAAATTTTACCTGCATTTCCATTTTTAGGCTGACTATGTTAACATCATTTGCAGTAATGTAAGGATTATTATACCTCTTGCTGCAACGATGACCCTTCTTTGGATCTATTCTACTTTGAATTCATTTTTCTGGGGCAGCCAATGCTCACAGGATTCAAGCCTTTTGTGCAAACAGCATTAATACTTCCTTCTGTTCTCTGGGACGACTCTGCTGCATTGTAAAATATCTTTCTTCCCTTATGACTGGTAATGCAGTCATCCTGAAATTCACTGATATACCTAGGTTTTCTCCTTCTTCCACATTTCCAGCAAATGCTCCTATATGATAAAGGAAACCACATGTTAGCCTGATTGACTTGATGAATTTGTGCCTTGCTCTGTTTAATCCAGTCCTTCCTGTATGGTAGTCTAATTTACTACTTTTCTTAATGTGCCTTCCAACTTTGCAATTTCCCCAAATATTATTCAAGGGAATTATTAAAAACATTGGATGAGAGCAATCCAGATGGAGATTTTAGTGACCCTCCCAATGAAGTAGCATAGCTTGTCTTTTAGCACAACCTGTTATCATTTCTGCTTTAGTTAATCCTTTATCATCCCCAAAGTTTAGTAATTTCTGGCTGTAGCACTGCCTGAAATACTGTATTGACCTTCAGAGAGTTGAGATCTGCTGCATGTCCTTTGTTGAGAAAATAGGTCATTTTATTTTAAAAAATGAGGTTAGCTAGATCTATCTTTGATTTATCTATGTTCTATCTTCATTAATATCCTTTAGTCCTGGCCACTGGACCTGTGCTTATATGTTCCAGCTCTGCAATGAGATGATCCAGTCCTGCTTCCTCAATTCACCTTGAGTTCAGTGACTTCTCTGGGTTTTTCGTCTCCTTTGTCTGTATTCATTTTTCTGCCCAAACAGTCATTCTCTGAGTGCTGCCTCTGCTGTCTGCTGGTTCATGCAGGAAATTGAGAGCGTGTCCTTATTCTGCTGGGGCTCCTTCTGGAACGCCTTAATGTGTCCCCCATCCTCCCTGCATGGGGAGCCAAGCTCTGGGTTCTCTCCTTGGTTTTCACTTATCTATGTAAGAAACCTTTTGTTAGGTGTTTGAATATCATTTGCAAAGCCTCAGTTAGACTTACAGTGAATCTTGTTTCTGGTCTCCAAATGTAGCATTTTTTTGCCTTTTTTTTTCTTCCCTTCTGTGTTCCTTCCTGATATACTTATTGAGGTGGCTGAGTAAGTGGCTGATTAATTAACACCTTCTCAACTGTAACTGCTGAAGCATCTTAATAACATAATTATTTTTAAATTATTTTTTCAGAGGCAATGCTAACAATTTATTTTTTAATCTCAGTGTATAAATGTATGCTGTGGTCTAACACCCTGGAAGTTAGAAACATTCAAGATACCATAAGTAGTAGCTTATCATTGAAACTATGGAGTGTAGTCAGGTCTAACAGTATTTGACATTCATTTTTACTCTTTTTATTTCAGAGGTCCTTAGAATGACCTAAACTTTGCAGTACAGAGGCAAATCATGTGTATCTTTCCTAAACTGATTTTAGTCCCACTGAAGTGGAGTAATTGCTTAATTATAGTTTTCAGGTTATAACTTTGTGGCCTTGTTTTCCTCTCAAAGCAGTGTGAATTAGGATTAAGTCCTTGCATTCAGCAGCGTTTGCCACAAAGCCTCTTGTTGTGAGTCAGTGGTGTCTGCAGTGCTGTTGAGAGCACAGTTTCAACCTCTTTCTTACATGATTGCAAAAACTAATAGTGAAATGTAATAGCATAAACACTGAACATTCTTTGGCTGTTTCATAGTTGATTGATGAGGAATGAGTTGTGTAACACAGTGACAGATCAACAGAATCTGAAAAATTTTGAAGGAGTGCCAAGTGGTTATTCAGTGAAACCACTGCCTTTGGACTACCTGCCAAAGAGATGTACATCCAGCAGAGTAGATTCTCTTATCAAATGGCCTATTGTTAACAAGAAATTGGAAATTAGGGGCTGAAATCTCACCTCTTTTTACCACAGTTTAAATGCAATTTGTTATTTCTTGTTACTGACTACAGCCTCTTGTTAAAGGATGTGTGCTGGACAGCCTTTCCCAATCTATGCCTTTTAAATAAGCTACCTGGTACATTTTATAATGTCACTGCAGATCTTGTTGCCAAGGAGAGACCCTGTCTCTTACATCCACCCCAAATCCCAGGTGTAGCCTTTCACCACTGTGCTTTTCCGAGCGAGCAATTGAGTGGAAGTTATCTTTTCTTTATGCATGGCAAGCCATACATGCACATCCCAAAGCAGGAAGACAATGGGGTTCCTCATTATGGGTTGTCTGCTTCTGCCTCCTAAAATGCTGTAAACTCACAGAGTGTGGAGTCCTCATGAGGGGTTCAGTCTGGGATAACTTGGATGATTACTTCAACTTCAAGCTGAGGATCACAGGATTTACACCCTGCTACTGATCCCCCTGGTGGGACAAGAGGGCTGCATATGATTCACACAGCACACAGCCTGCTTTCAAACAGCCTTTGTACTTTTGCAGTACAGCAATCTGCAAATCATTATGCACCCCCTCTTTGCCCAATCCACACAGGATGTGAGTCTGTGTCAGCTCCCAGCTTGATAGCCTTCCTCTTTTGCACTATCAATAAAAAACTCCTGCTTGCAACTTTGGAAATTACTGGTCTACTGCCTACCTCTAGCCAAGAGGATGGGTGTCACATTCACAGATGTCCCACATCTGGCAGGGTTGTGGATAGAAGTATATTTTCCATAGGCTAGTAGGGGAAGAGACCTACCATTGTAAAGCTGGTTCATCCACACTGCCACCACTGCTCCTGGCTAACCCAGAGTTCAGTGGTCCAGGAGAACAGGCAATGTTCCAGGAAAAGCATGGCTATATGCATTCCACCACTGACATTTCTTCCTGCTGGCAGGCCATGTCATTTTTGTGGAAAGGAGAGGATTGCTCTAGATGTACTTATTTTAAATGAGGACGAAATGTTTGATGCAATGATCGTTTCCTGGTGCTTGTCACAGGTCTTCAGGGAGAGAAAGGGGTGGACATTTGTCAGGAGATGTTTGATAGACAAGCAGATGCAGAACTCCATCTCACTGATTTGTGTCTGTGGAAGTGGCAAAGCTGTATTAGCTCCATCGCTAGCTCCACTCCAAGTGAAGCAAGCAAAGACACTCATCATGACAGCTAAAGCTGTGACAGGCCATGTCTTCCCCCAGGAACAGCACAGAAATAAGAAAAATTAGACGAGAAAGATCTCTGGTTTCATGCTGCTTTCTGCAGACAGTAACACCCTGTTCATATCTTCAACTTTCACTTGATAACCAATTTTATAATATTTCAAGCTAAATCTTCACAGGTATTCAACACCCTGGGCATGTTGGTTCTGCCAGGAGATGACTGTAAAGCAAATTTTAGGCAGCTGGTTAGAGCATGGCAATGGGAGGGGGGGAGGGGGGAAGAAGCTACTCTTTGAAAAAGAGTCCTGGTACTGCTGCTGGTGCCCAGAGGAGAGTTATGTCTCAGAGCTCAGATTTGGACTCACACAGCAAACATACCTTCAAGCCAATGTTCTTGTTAAAAGCATGGACCTGGAGTATGTCCTGGCAACTCCACACTAGTTTGGCCTTTTCCTTCGCTTTGCCTCCACTTTTCAGGGTAGAAAAGCAAGACTATTTATCCTTGGGTGAGAAAGTTCAGGTTTGACTATAACCCTGAAAAACATTTCACTTGGCCTGCACAGGTGATATGCACGTCTTTGAGATTCTGGACTTCACTGTATAGTAACCATGGATGTTTTCACTGAGATAATATAATTGTACCAATGTGTGTAACTGTGTCCATTCAGGAAAAAAAAAATATTGGACGTGTGTAAGCCAGGTGAACTTATTTTAAACATCTTGTAATAGAGCTTGGAAAGTTTCAAACACCACAATTGAAGAGAACTTTCTCATAGTATTCAAAATGTGTACATTTGTTATTCTTCCTAGAGTTTTACATGTCATTCAAATCTGTCTTCCAGATAAAAATCAGTGATACAGGTCATGACTCTGAGAGTGTGGGCTGTGGTGATTAGCAATGATCTGTTTGTGGTGATATTCGCTTGCTTCTGCAATATGCAATGTATTTGAATCCTCTCTGAGCTTCTTTTCATTATTTTGTTCAACAGACGAGTGAAGGAGTAAGTAGAAACATGCCATGAGTGCTGTTGTATTGAGTGAAGTATGAGACTGCTTTGCTGTTTCCTTTCATCTACTTGGCCTAGCTGGGACAATATGTAACAAGACATTATGCAATATTTGTTCTGCTTCTCACAGTTTAAAAAGCTGTAACTCTTTTGTGCTGGTAAAATTCTTGTGGATAAGGGGGAAGGGACAGAACTCTTTGACGTTAACAATTCCAATATCCAGTATAAGTCATAGGAGCATCACAGGCATTACTTTGTACGTTATATGTGCTAAAGGACAATAGTTTTACTCAAATGTGGTGGTTTCCCTCTGAGAAGTATTTTCTCAATTTCAAAGAACGTTGTCTATCATTCTGACACACTCCAAAGTGGAAGCCCAAGCCAAACAAACCAAGCAACAACAAAATCAGCAGAAAGTTAGAATGTGTGACAGACAAAGACTTAAAATCCCAAAAGAGTCTTCTGTCAGGCACCCATTTGTACCCTAGTATCACCATTCAATGAGTTACTGTGAAGTCAGTGAACACTAATGTGAAATTAT